GGAGGTTCAGATGGAAGCAAACTACTGGGAAAGGTATGCTAGGTGCGAGGCCTAGGAGTCTTTCTGGGGCGCTCAGAGCTGGTTTGTGAGTGTGATTCACTTGCTGGTGAGAAGAAACGCGCTAGAAAGAAGAGTCACGCCAGATGCAGAATTTACATCCTTGTGTAGAAAATGATAGTCGTCAATTTGTTCTAGACTATTCTCGAGTGAAAATCAGCGATCGAAAGATCGACTTGACTTGATAGACAGACGACTGGAAACGACATGCATTAACGCTCGCAGTTCCTCTGTGGGAATCCTTTAAGGCTTCCTGCACAGAACAGTCGTGCCCTGCCCTTTTTTGTTTGACAGCTAAACTCAGCTCAAATGAATTCTGCTTTTGGTCGCTGACCGACTGCGAAGAGCCCACATGAAACACATGAAAAATGTTGCGAAATTGCGGAGAAATTACATGCCACCTTCATGGAGAAAGTTTCCATGGATCGAAACCTCACCAACCATTCGTCTCCGTCTTGAGTGTGAGAATGTAATACATATTCGGTCGGACTGGACTAATTTGCAGGTCATAACAACGAGAAAGAAGGAGAGGACGAATCCTGGGATGCGAGACCGGGCACACCAATTGTGGTAAAGTATGCATACTTGATTTGTGACAAGGTGTGGTCTAATGATTCATCAACACGCACGAAATAACAAAGTTCCCCGAGCACTATCTTATTCTTGGATTAGGGTGGAGGGCGCCCGGCATCCAACCTCAACAACGCACCATTAACGTGACAATATCCCAAAAGCCTTCTTGGTGTAATGATTCGGCGGAGCCTCCAGCCACAACATTCTTGTATAAATGGAGAATTTATGCACATAACTGAGTTTCCAAGTCATTTCGTTTTCGTGCACATGTCTACGCAGGCTGGAAATTAAAGGTTCCCCACAAGTTGCAACATACATATTACACACAAACCAAGTCATGATCTCACGAATGTATGCAGCTAAATGTGCACCGCTGACACCCAAAGGTTCGTTCAGGCATCAACAACGCAAGCAGCCGTTCACAAGTGTGATCACTTTCTCTTGAAGAAAAGCATCGGCAAGATTCTTGCTTCATATGGTGGACTCTCGTTTGCATGTCTAGACAGTCAAAGAAAAGTGCGTACACGAGAACCGCTCCCTTCTCATGTACAGTACCATTTGCATCACACATACTATAGAGAGGAGTTTTTGTCACTTTGAGCACGACTACCGCAAGTTTAAGAAAACTCTCACCCTCCACTTTTCTATCCCATGAAATGATATATTTAGATGGTGACATCTTTGAAGCACTCAGCAACTCCGTCTACATGATCCATTTTCCTTCCCCGATCCTTCTGTGACCTGCATGTGCAGCATCCACAACTACAACTACAGTGAAAAGCACCAACCGAGTCAAGAAACCCCAAGCTTATGTTCAGACCATGCCACCAACATCATTTTCTGAAGACATCTGAAGTCAACAGACAGAAACCACTGTACCGATAAGGGTTTGAGATGGAATCCCAAAACCCCCAAATGGCAGAGCGTAAAAGAATCGAAATAGCAAAAATTATCCCTAATCAACTCCAGGACTAGAGGAGGGAAGACCGGTGAGACAAATACTTCAAGACGATGACCTGAAGAGAAACACACGAGGCTCGATAGACGATTAAAGTATCGTATTCTCTGCTAGCACAGTTCGACCATCCTGAAACCAGAATCTTGGTTGCCAGAAATCGGACACCGAGAGATAAAGAAGGCCCACTGCTATTTTCCGCAATTTTCTTGAAAAAAATCGGAGAGTACAGCATGATGACGATGACCATCGCTGCTCAGGATCTAAGAAGTAACATCATATCAGAGCAGAGCAGAGCAGAATAAATCCAATTATAAGCAAACTGTTGATGGATCTGACGTCTCTAGGCCTTGTCTGTGTGCGAGGGTTTGTTTCATTTTTCCTGGTTCCAGGGAACGAAGGTCATTGGGCACTTCCATCTCAATGAGGTCAGCAGCAGAAGACCTGCACATCCATTGGACCCAATTGGAAAGGGCCACCCAAGGGCCAAGCAAGTGCAATGGAGCCCCCCCTTCGATGCGTTTTTGGGGCCAGCGCCCTATTCTCTCTCCGTCTCTCTCGCCACAGTCCTACCCTCTCGCTAGAACCAAGGCAGCTCATTGTTCTTCTTCTCTTCTCGTCTTCCTTCTTGGCCTTTGGCTCCTCGGTCTTCGTGGAACTACGGATTAGTGGTGTAATTTCGTCTCAGTATGGATGGATTGGGGCCCACTGGTTCATTCCAAGTGTGGGCTTTGAAAAGTTTGGTTATCTTGTTACAGGTCCGCTGTCTGCTTTCAGATAATGTTGTAAGTACAGTGGCATTGTGGGGAGTTGTGTACAGAATACGACTCTCTTCCTCCCTCTCTGTTTCACATTTCGGCTCGCTGGAGAGAGAGAGAGAGAGAGAGAGAGAGAGAGGGGGGGGGGACAGTAAAAGGATTTTACATTAGCGCAGGTGGAGACGAGAGTTTGATGTTATCGATGTGTGAAAAAAAAGATCTCTTCTTCAAATCTCTTCCTGGCATGCCCGGCGAGGATAGAAATGTCGGTTGGCCCAGTACAGAACTCCTCGAGCGAAACAAACATGCGCAATGATTTTGACCGAGTTTTGAAACAAATCGAAACAATTATCAATGGCGCTTCAACTCAACGAGCCTCTGAAGAAAAGGAGAGGAAAACGAGAGAAGTTCAAGCAAATGAGACCTAAATTCGGAGTTTTCTTTCAGGGTTTGACCCCGTTGAATGCTCCAAGGCAACCGAATTGCAGCTGAAACAGCGCAATATCCTCAGCTTCATGAATGGGACCCATAATCAGCACTTATCCAGTTCAATAGCTGTCTGTCTCGCTAGATGCATGTCATGTGACAAACACGAGGATTGAGTGCTGCATTATCAAATCTAGTCAACAATCCAAGCTAGACGTCGCACACAACGTACTCAAGGACCCTTGCTTAGGGACTTTGTGCATATGACCTGAAATTTGCTGGATTAAATGGGGCCCAATTTAGATAAGAGACCTGTCTTGATTACTTGTTTTAGGTCAAGGAAATTCTTCCGTAGGATCCAAATTAGGGAGGCCACATAATCCATCATCTCGTTGTGCAACTGTGCTCATTCCAATACTCCATGGGCCCAAGCATAACGTGGACCTGGAATCTTACGTAGTTGTTTAATCCAATCCAACCAGGTTGTTTCCATGCCAGTATACATGGGACTCGCCTATTACTCTTCCAGAATACTCGCCCGCAGATGGGACACCGACCTCGTTTGTTGCTTGAATCTGCAGAGAAGTGTGGTTGAGATGCAGACATAAGCTTTCTCGAATTCGTCTGGAAAATACAATCGTGGACAGGGACTTTATTGGGGCCCATTTTGCGTAGCAAGAATCTTCTCACCTCCATGTTACATCCATCCATCCATCTATCGTTTTTGCATGTGATGTCACCAGTTCAGATCCTCGTCTGCAGGGCATAGATAGTTCGCAAGCGAAACGAGATAAATTTGGGGATGATTGCAAATGGGACCATTCATTTCCTCTTTATTCTTTCTGTTGCTGCCTTTCTTTGCTCCCCTTGTCCGGTGACTCTGTCCTATTTCTGGATTGTTCATCACATGTCCCAGCATTTCTCAGAAATGAAAATTTAGATTTTGGTCTTTTTGACGTCACCTCATCCACCATGTTACAGACATTCCTACACCGTTGCATATCGTATGAAATGTGCAACTGTATGTATAAGTACATAGACACGCATACAACTTGCACCTGGATTTGCCTTACTAAGCAAGAGTGCGATTTGAACCAGTGACTCAGATATCACATCAGTTGTTAACATATGAACTTCAACTGTGTCTTCAAATTCATCATTTCAAGTGTGGGGCTATTTACACGACATAGCAAGAGCCATGCGGACGTGTGGCATTTGTAAGCAGGCAGTAAAAATAACTATCCACCTTTGTTAGTTTCTTGCGTGTATTATTTATTTTACGAACAAATATATTGCATGGGTGGTGGATACATTTTCATTGTGCATGGTTTACTGCAACGTATCTGATAATGGTAGCTATCAAAAATGCGGCAAAGAGTATTAGCAGAGCTAATGGCGGAACTTGGCACTCCTGCACGTCACACAGATCACATGAAATAGATCGAAGGTCCCAGCTTTTGATGCAGGAGAACAGGGGCAGCAATCTGAATCATATCGCATCTCCCGGATATTAGGTCTGCGATAATCTCGACTACACTCGGCGAGGTAGGTCATCATTCGCCTTTGATGGTTGTCGTCTCATCTTTCCAAATCTATGAACTGCGCCATTGTCGAGCTACTCATGCGCCATGACCCACAGACCCAAGCACTGACTGACTCGCTGGCTGCCGAAATTGGTTGTTCGAAGACTGGGCTACACTATTATCACGCCCCTCCTCGTCCTCAACGGATTATCTGCAAACCAAATCTTCATGACGAGTTCGGACCAAGTCTCTCGCGTTGTTGTGCTGGTGGACTGCGCGAGCGATTTTGACCGAGGAACAAGTTGCGCCCCTGTACTCGCGTGTCTCATGATGAGGACTCGAGGGCCCAACTTCCCCCCGCACTCACCGTCCGAATCCACCATTCCATCCACGGACGCGTGACCGTGTCGACGGTGAGGTCCCCACACCGCGCTACGAAGTTCGACCTCGACCACGCCAGGCGACCAGAATGTCTAGACTACGTAACGCCCGTTTGACTTCCGGACGTCGGACTGACGGAAAGACTTCAGTGCGTCAACGCGCAGACCTCCAGTTTGCGTTCTGGGGGGAGGACCTCGGTGAACCTTTTTCTCCCAACACAAGCCGCGCGATCGGAGCGATCTCACTGCCGTTTTAGAATGAGTAATTAACTTAATTACTCTAAACTGCGGTAAGAAGACTCCAATCATTATTATTTTAATAAATTATATGCCGATAACGACAAAGAGCCTGACCTCGTCCGGCTGGGTGACACGTCGGCTGCGCAGTCCAACCGGACCGCACCGACCCAGCGGCGCCGAAACCGGCCGACGAGCGAAAACCCCTAAACTTGAAAGGAAGCGAAGCGAGCTACGGCGGGAGATGAACGGCCGAAGTTTACGGCCGAAGTTTCGAGCCAAAGACTTCTTGCTGAAGGTGATTCCGGTAGCCCAGACGGCGCCAGTAGAAAAAGAGTGCAAAAGGTCGAGCACTCTTCTTCTTCGGCCATTGTCTCCAATGTCGCCGATGTCGCCTCGAATTAAGCCTTCCTAGTGCGCCGAATCTCCTGCAATCTGCATTTTGTGTGCTTGACGTGATCCTTATGTGCGTTCTTGAGCATTTACCGTGTCCTGAAGCTTTATTCTTGGCCGAAACGAGAGGAGCAGCAAAGCACTGTGCTTCCGACAATTCTAAACTTGCCAGCGACGAGATCCACGTACTCATTCTCATACTCGTTTCTTGTTTTCGCAACTTGTCTTGAATAACTGGATGTGAGTCTCACGAGCATCTATGGGAACTTCAATACTATAGTATTGATGTCTACAGAATTCACTCTGGATGTGTTCGAACATCGGTGGCAAGAGTTCGATACGTTAGGAGGATCCATATTAGAGATGCTTCTTTCTTTGATCTGGCTTGACACATTCTGTCGAAGTTCCTATCGTTCGTGAGTTGCGGGTTGAATGTTCCGCATATCTCCATACGGAACAGGGCAAGGTTTACAAGGGAAAGAAACATGGTCTCCATGGCTTTTCCAAGAAGCAAATGGCTGGATTCGTACACTGGGACATTTTAGCAGTCAATTGAAGTATTATTGATCTTGGCCGTGGTTGCAATGGAAGATGTCAAGCAGATTATAATGCTCTCACCCAATGGCAAACCAATTGTTCCAACCGGAGAGAAGATGCCTCGGGAGGGAACGGCGAAAACACATACAGGGGACAAAGCGCTTTTGGATATTCAGCAGGCTTTCTGGTATGTGGGACGGAGGAAAGAAGAAGTACATGTAAAGTCACGAATGAAAAGTATTAATGATTGGGATATGTAAAAAATAATTATTTAAATTATGCAACATATAGAACTTGAGAGGGGGATTTTCTGGGAATATGGGAGGAGGAAGGAGCTTATTCTGACCGTTTTCGGAAGATCTCCTAGCTATTGTGCTTCCGTTATTTGAAGTGCAGTCCCATGGTAGAGGGTCTTCATTACTGTTGGTGCAGTCTTCCACTTGAGGCTCATGTTCCTTCAGAGAACTTGGAGGAAAGCTACGGAAAGCTCATCACTTGCAGAACGAGATCTCAACACCCGCTTTCCAATGAAAGCGGGTGGGGTCTTCTTCCCATCTTTTTTGGGTATATTGTTCGGTACCCTTCTTTCCAGAAAATAGTTTTAAAAGTAAAAGACTACACCAACTCTATGGGAGAAAGGCTTTAGGTTAGTCATTCTCCTACTTTTGACAAGCATGTTAATACAAGCTAGCTTGGAATGGGATATTGGAAAAGGATACAAGCAGGCACTAAGAACACAATGAAACACTATCCATTCAGTTTTTATAAAGGCCGGATATTATTCCACCCTAGCTTCATAAAGCAGAGGAGAGAGCAAATGTTCTCAGTGATAGATCATTGTGTCCATTGGGAGTCTAATGTTGCATACTAGCAAGTCCGCAGTTCTTGTGGTGACTTGGAGTCTAGTGAAGCATCACTAATCATAACAATCTTTCTTTTTTTCATATAAGTCAATTGAAGATGTGCCACACTGCAAAAACGTGTGTAGAGTACTAGATGCAGAATAACAGCAAAGTATAAGCACTTATTCACCTATCATGGTAAAGCCTATACCCACATCTAAAAAGTGATTCCAAAACTGCCATGGCGCTCCATGAACTTCTAAACTGGATGAAGATGTGACTCTTATTTATTGATAACCGCGAATCTTAGCATACAGCTGATCACCGGAGTTCCTCCTCCATGACAGTAACTCACGAGAAGTCATGGTCTGTTGTTTTACTAATAACCAACCGATTAACAACTCCTTATACATGTAGAGATCTCTAGGTTTTACTAGATGTGAGTATCGATCGATGCTTTCTACAAATGGAAAGACCATTATTTTTTTTCAGCAGTGCATAGAATAAATTATAAACAAAATCATCTGTATAGATCATCTCGATCTTCTAGAGTGTCAGCTTGTTCATAAGTGTGATCTAAGATGCATTCAGGATTTTGAACATACTCGCATGTTGGCATGCAAAGAGATTGAATAATGTATTATCGAGAAGAATGATGATGTGTGGAGTGTGGAATTTGCAATATAAGAAGATAGGATAGATTACAAGATTATCGACTGTCAGCGAGATGTTTTGAATCAAGAACATATTCGAGCTTCATATGTCACATGCATGGTTTTGTCATGGAGTATGTACGACACTTAAGTGTCATGGTTTTATTCCATGAGTTATATATTTGAACCAAGTCCTTATATAGTTACTAGACTTTTATATGCTAGGTGCTACTGCCTAGCTTATTATGTCACAGACTTGTGTACTTCCGTAGATTATAAAAAATGAACATGTTTTCTATTACAAATGAAGAATCTATAGCATAACATGGTATCCATCAAAAGCTAGCTAGAAAAGCTTATGTCACAATGATCTATGGAAATTAAGCCATATTTCTAGTAGTATCAATAAAAAAATTATCGTGGTTGTCAATTATCTTGATATTTTACAATCACATATCCTCATATACATGTACAAATATATCATCAAAAGCAACAAGCTTAGAATTACAGGAGCAATGTATTATTTCATGTAAATGAACAAAACTAAATTAATGAGAATGATTTTTAATCAATCTGTTTTTTGTTTATACTCAAATCCAATCTGAATATATGATATAACAATGTGAATATGTGATTCGTCGATGCAAACTTTTCACAGAAACACTGTGGCTTTCACTGAAAAACCCTAGAGTGTCATGCGAAAACTGTTGCTAGCTCTCTTAATTATAGTGTTGTAGGATTTAGTAAATTAGGTTTTACTTAAACCTTAATTCTAAATCTCAACATAGATAACCTGAGTTATCAGAAGACTGGATATGACTCATAACAGATTTCTAGTAGATTTAACCACTATTGTAATGATTTTTTTGTGTGTTTACATTAAGTTTCATTTTTACATGCTGATAGATTAGATGGCTTTCCAACTTACATTCATCTAAAATCTACTATGATATCATTCTTGACTACATTGATAATAGTGTTAAAAAAATCAATGGAACAAATTATGAACCAATTTAAATTATGATTTCTTTTGATTTGTTGATCTTGCATGTTTATGGACAAGTGATTATTCAAATTATAAAATAATCATATGAATTGGGCACAATTTTCATTTTCATAACGTCCTTTGCAATGAATGAAATATGAATACGGAATCATTTAATAATCATAAATTAGACATTTTTGTTTCATGAATTAGTCAGGCACATGCATATTTAAAATGTTAGTAATTTATCAAGTTTTTCTTACTTATAGTTTTATTAATCTAGTTTGTAAAACTAGGATAAATGAATATCAAGAAAATTGGTTATAGTTATCAATGACATATACATGAATTTTCTAAACTCTTAGTAATATTTTTATTTGCGTGATATCTGTAGAATTAAACCATATGTTTTTGACTTGACTCTCTTGCATTTCTGTGCCTACGTGAATAATTTTAAATATGATGAATAATTCTTATAACCTAAAAATTATATATATATTCACCAAAAAGAAATCTTTGATTAATATATTGTAATAAAAAAACACGTATTTATATGAAATTAAACCAGACATCTTTCAAATTCAAAAGTTGAAAATACAATTTATATGAAATTTTTGGAATTAAATTATTTTTCAAACAAATGTTAATAAAAAAAAGTTCTTCAATTTTCAACTCTAAAAAAATGTTAAACTCATGAATTAATAACTCATGACTAATAAACTCCTGATCTTATTCAATTATGCGTTACATATTAAAAATGTTCTAAGACTTGATAAATATCATGAAAGTTTAAGATTCGATTTGTATAGAATAAAAGAGCATATCCGAAATGTCATACAATCCAATTCATGTAATTTAGGAGAACAAAAAACTCTACAAAGCATTGTAAAGTAATTTACTTTACAATGCCTTGAAAGATATGACAAGTGAAGTATTTCAAAAAAGTTTACCGAAATTCATACATAATATCTAGAATATGTTTTTCCTTGCAAAAGATAAGTTTTAGATAATTTATTTTCTATTTCGAAAATATATTAAAATTCATGCTTAGATTTCTTCTTACCATTATTTTTAGCTTGAAGTGTATATAGATATCTAATCTTTTGGAAAATTATGTCTCTTTAGTATGAATTGAGTAGAGAAAGTAGTGTACTATATATATAATGCACAAAAAGCGGGATGCTTAAAAAAATTCAAGAATTATTTTCTCATACGTAAGCATCAAGTCGAGAACAACTTTGCCTCGGGACGATAAAACTAGGATGAAGAACTGAAATGAAACACAGCGAAGATCCAAAACCTGATACAATGAATCAAGGTTCTCATCAGCCGAACACAACTTCAAGTCGTCAGTCAGCATCAGATTTCCTTCGAGTGTAACTGAACGTCGCGTTGTAGCTCGTGAGTCGCATGAGATCAATCTTCTCTTCTACCCAATGAGCGAAACATCCTTCAGAGGGTAGCTAACTCTATTTCCTTCCTTCTATATTTCACCCAAAAGCACATGCTATAACATATGTTATTCACGTGGAGTAAATGAAGTTGACCCCCCACCAATTTCGTCGGATCTCATTCACGAACTCCCTGAAATATCCAAAAGTGTTTTGGCGTTTATAATCCTCAGAACTTGGAAAAACCACACAAAACCGTTATCGTAGAAATCCGACCACCATCACACAGAAGTCATGTTTTTTGGTATTTTCTGAGTGCGAGTGCTGAAGTACACAAAGTACCACGTTTGTACAGCAAGCATATATACCAGTCGTGGCTGCTGGACTTTCGTCTCTTTTATTTACTTCGGAGGTTTGCATGATTCCTGTGGAGATGCGCAGGTCCACTGGTCTTGTAAGAGCCCAGCTTTTGTCTGTCTGACTAGTGCGTGTGGTTTCTGATGCTCAAGAAGAAATACCGATGGTAAGTTTCGGGATTAGTTGCTCTTGGGTTTCACATTCTTTTGGTGTGAGGTTTCGGTGGGAAGTGGTCGATAGTGCACCGAGTACTGGCCCAGATTTCTCTGCAGTCACTTTCCCCTGCTTTGCTCTCCTTTGCTGATATTTTACAAGAACAGTCCGTAAAGTATCTTTGGGACAAACCTGTTTCATGGCAACATTTATATTCTGCCTTTATGTCCGAAGGTACACGAGAGCATGGGCTTTCCAGTGTGACATTATTGGATCTCGAGTTTTCATATACTTCCTTGGTTTGAAGCTTTAGAAGGTATAACGCTCTTCCGAGACACGATGATCCTGCTCCAGCTGTTGAGAACGGATGAAGTTGGTCGGCCAAAAGGTGGCCTTCGCTTGAAGGGAGAAGGTTCTTTGAAAGATTCTGAATCTCTTGCTCTGAAAGGATTGGATGTCAAAGAAGTTGAGAGTACAGGGCCTTCAGTAGCTTTCTGCAACATGGATATTGTGGTCTCCTTTTGTTAGATTAGATGCCCTTCAGATCCAATCAGTCACCAGTCCTACATTATTGACAACATGCATGTCTTTTGGTGTGGTAAGTGCCTTTCTCCCATCCATTTCACCTCCGGGAAAAGGCTCCGATCGTCCGAGGGGTTGGTTACTTTGAGCCGTCCAAACTAATTCATATAAAATGCTCCCTATTTAGACACCGGCTAGCCGCTTCTCACAGGTGTTCGTAATCTGTCCGTCTGTACAATTCTTCATAATAATATCTCATTCAAAGGGAGGCCCAATTTGAGCACTCGTGATCGGCCCTTTGTAGGTTAGCAGAATCATTCCATAGGTGAGCCAGTTCGTAAGATATTTACTTGGCTGGCTGGTAACGAACATGTGCAAGTCTGTGACGGCTGCTGTGAAAGCTCATCACAATGCCCCATACCCGATGTGACGTTGGAGGTGATGGGCCCCAAGGGGACTGACCATTTCTCGTCTCGTTGAGGCCCTGGGATTCTCTTCTCCCATAGGCGGCACTCATCAGGAGATAACTCTACATGATTCATTGGCTGCCTAGTAGAAACATATGCACAAGCTGACGGCTACTGTAACCAGAACGTGAATGCGAAGGCTATCCATAGTTCCATGATGTAATCTAAGCTGCAGACTGAGGTACACACCTCTTTCCACACTGCTCTCGCTCCACCGTGTTGTGTCATGAGGGTTTGACACGAATCCCGACTTTATGAGGAGAAAGGTTAAGACAATGATACAAGCTTCCAGCATCAAAGGCTTACATGGATGAGTGAATACTTCAGACACGTCGTACGTAAACGCTTTCCTCTCCTCCATAAATTTCATTCCTGTCGGCCAGAGGACAAGAAAGGGATTTTGGCTGGCCTGGTAGACGTTTGGCCCATTTGTTGATACGGACGTCAAGTGAACGAGACTTCTTACAAGAATAAGTCACGTCGACCTGCGCAGACTGGCATTCGTAGTCTTCACAAACTGCGAACACTTTCAAGGAGCTCGTCAGTAGAGGAGAGCTTGACGACACAAAGTTTCGCATGGGCAAAACAATTCATAATTTCGCAGTTTAGTTGGTAACTTTCAACTCGCCGAACCACCGGCAACGTTCCAACGTTCCATAATTTGCTTGCTTCGTGACGCCATTCTGTCTGTACATGACGTCTTCTAGACAGTTTTCAACCAACGAACATCGCAGCAGGAACATTGCACTTTTGCGGGTAACAGTGAACGAAGGATATCACAGGCATACAGATAAGGCATCGTACAAGACGAGATGACATAGGAAGCCAAGTACAGATTGTGAACAGCTGAGAATCATTGCACCATCCTATCTACACCCAACTAAGGCCGTTCGAGTTAAGGGATAAGGTTTCCGACGTGGAAAAAATTAGTTTCTCGCAGTGATCGAATATTTCCCATACCGACCGGTGAAGGTAAGAAGAAGTGGCTGTCCTAGACCAGTTCATCTCGAATCTTGGCAGCGATGAAGGAATATCAGAAACCAAAAAGGAAAAGCAGCTGAAGGACCACTCCTTAAGAATCCTCCAGAGAGGGGAGGACGAAGTTGGAAGCGGAATGATGCACAGGTAAGAGTAAGAAGAATGAAAGCAAGCGTGGATTCGACACGGCGAGGACCCTTAACTGCAAAGGCAGATGCATGACGACACGGTATAAAGCACAGGGTAAAGCAGCACAAGGCATAACACAAAATGCTTTGCCGCGTCATCCTGGACGGGAAGTTCTTTCTAGATGCACAACTTGAAAAGTTCACCTGCGTAAAGAGAGCATATGTTATTCCGTGACTAGAAGGCATTCACACCAGCCGAGAGTACGGACCCTGGTGGTTCAACTTGCACAGCAGCAAGAATTGTGCCCCTCGCAAATCGGAAAAAGATCCAGGACACACACTGAGCAGTAAGCCAAAAGGCAGGACGTGAAATGAAATCGTCACTTTTCCTGTCCTTCCCGTGTTTATTAGGACCTTCGATTGTCCTTCAACTCTCATCTCCTTATTGCGCAACCCAATAAAGCACACCGAAAAGCAACTCTAAGAGCTGAACATCAGTGTTAAAACATTCGTAAAAGTCATCACAAGAACAACAAACTGTGAACCGTTGTAGAAACAAGAAGTTCGTACGACCTCTATGCGACGTGGGAATGTGCAACTTGAGGTAATCTGTAGTACAAGAGAGTAATCTTTCATGCCTTACGTAAGAATCACAAGAGGGAGTAAGGCCAGATAGTGACAGTCACATGTACCAGGACGTATCCGACGGTAGTACTCACAAGGGTTGCAGAAGTGATCTAAATCAACATCATAATCTACTTCTCAAAATCATCAACTGCTTCGACATGACAGATACGTTCCCGACACGCACAAACAGATCTTAGATATTGACCAAAATTGTGTTCATTTACAACGCTCGAGGGTCACAAACTGACAAAAAGCTGTTGCCTCATACCATAACAAGCAGTTTCTTCCGACCTCCCGAAGCTAAGGCACACTAACAGGTGTTTTGATAGTCCAGCCTGTCGTTGGAGAGAAGTTAAGGTATGGGAAACATGCTAACCACTGGCAATAAAAATGACTGGCGCTTTCTAGAATGCCATTGGGCATACTTGTTCTCTGCCAATGCCTGCGGTGGATGTATGTCACAATCTACTAATACTACCTCAAAAATATTTGTACTTGTCCATTTCCTTCAGAAAAGAATAAGACTGTCAACCCGGATATCCCGTCCTTCAATCTGATTCTCACGTCCCAAGGATGCTTCGCATAAGAATGGACAAGTGATTGCCGTAAGGTGGTTGGAACTCTAAGAATGGATCCCATAAATCTAGCGACTCCAACAAGTCACTCTGCTCCATGTTTGCAATTGTGAAGTCACGAGAAGACCCCTGATGTAGAAAGCCCGAGTAGCATCAATGAGCCTTCCTGCTAAGCTGAAACATATACTGCATAAAAAGTGTGGAAGAGAATAGACAGCGAGATATCAATATCTCCTCTGACTAGAACCACAGCACCCAGTGTAGACGTTGCAAACAACCGTCGATGGCATTTGACAGGTGTATCCCTGTTCCAGCTCAGTACTGTAATAGACCTAACTACCTCCAATTGTGTAACATGAACCCGTTCAAGGTCGGAAGAAATCATAGACAAGACAGAGGAAGGATGTGTCCACAAAGACCAATGGAGACACGAGAATGCACTGATTAGGAAGCAATACCGCTGTACACAGTAGGAGATAAAAGGAAATAAATAAAGGATCAATCCACTTGATTCAAGTTTTCTGAACCTCCACTGGTACGGGGCACTCTGTGTGATTCCTGCGGTATTCGTAATTCATCATAGTCTCCGACCACCACCTGTTCAACCATAAGTCCAGCATTAGAAACAATTATCAAAGTGATCACATAAGAGTAACTCCTCAGAGTGAAAGAGGAATGTGGACTGGGCACTTACTTGATACTGATGGCCACGGTAAGAGTATGCCACCTTCAACTGTTTGGATTCCCCGGGACAAGGATCGCAGAAGCCCATCAAGCCAGCCTTCTTAACACCTTCATGAAGCTGCAATGGATTGTATTCTCTAAGTTATTCGAAGAACGAACAACAGAGACGAACGTATGACAGTTCTGCCTTCCAGCGATTCCAACGCAGCACCAGGACACCTCTAGGACAAACATAAACTCTACCTCCGGATTCATTTAAAACATGGGAGTGTGTGGAAACTCACTCGAAGCTCACCACTGTCGTCCACCAAAAACTGCAGCGGAATAGTTACATCAATATTAGGTGGCGGCAGGTCCGAATCATCCTCAAGATCTTCTCCGAGGTATGAATCTGAACCGTCTCGTCTCCTGATGTCACCGTACAATGCCTCTACAATAACCAGACCATCCTTTTGAACTTGCTTCCTTCGCTTCCTCTCCGCTACATTACTGAGCAGCAACTGAGCTTTTTCCGAAGCTGCGCGTGCTTCTAAAACCTGCGAGCAAGTCTTAAGTCAAACTAGTGAATCTGGTCCGCGAGGTCAGTAAGAAAGCTTCATCCCAAGTTTATCGTATATAAGAAGTCCTGTTCAAATGCCACAAGCACTATAATACAGGACTGAGTTCGTGAATTCGACATCCAGAAGATGTCATCTTCGCAGTAGTTGAGCCTGGAATCATAAAACTCTTGATCGGATGTCTTCAGAACAATCGTGCTTCCAGTCCTCACTCTCCAGTTTAGAGTTAAGGTAAGGCATGACAGACTTTCACCGCAAATACCGTAAAACTCAAATCCTAAAAGACACTGTACTGTACTCACTGCACCTCTAATAGTCTGGAAAACGTGGACTCTAGCTAAGCGGTGATACTAGTAGGAAACGAGGGAGAAGAAGTGAGGGTAAAGAAAGGGAGGAGAAATACCGTAAGAGGACTACATTACTAAATCAATTGCCCCTTATTGACACGGCTATGAGTACGACGAAGAGGAAGAGTCTAGATGAAGGGAAAGAACGGAGAAGGGAACCAGTACAGCACCAGAACAAAAAGAACTCAATTTACTTTCATAGAACAATATACTCTTTTGTAACTGCCTGTCATGGCTGAACTTTCAAAACAAACTGAACAGCAATCAGAAGAAATGTGCTACCAAAAACCAGACCTTGGTCACAGTCAGCCGCCTCTGCTCCAGACTCTTGCGCCTTTTGCGCCTGAGGTAGTAAGGCTTGAGAATGTACACCTGCGGCCCAGCATAAAAACGCAATATTAACAGGATCCCTAGATTCGTGTTCTCGGTTGAATCTCAAAAAAAACTCTAGGACACTTCGACATACTTAAATAGCACGATTGCAGATTCAAGTGCAGAGATATACCTTCAGGGCTGCATAAATAGATGCGGGTAAAAATATTGAACCCAAAGCAAATGTTGGGTTCAATGTTGTGCACAGAAGAATCTGACAGAGAACAACAGTCAGCTACTCTTTTTCTTGCAAAGTTGAAACAAGAATCAAAGAAAACGACATGTTCGCCCAAATCTTCGAATCTCTCTCACACCAAGACTCTAAAAGATAACACGGCAACACTTACTGGAATAACAAATTTCTGACCGCCTCTTGTAAACCGCAACTTCCAGGATATTCCCTGCAAGATGATGTTTGGGACGATGTTAACTTGAAACCAGGGGAGGTTTTCAAGCGTAAATGTCATCTGAGCACAAAATGAACTAAACGTGAAAAAGGTAGATGCCTAGTGCGAGGTTCGAAGTCAACGTACCTGGAGGCTTAGTGAACAAAATAGTGCCGCTGAACTGTGATCTGACACTCTCCTTTCTCCTCCAAGCTCCACCTCAACTCCCATACTGAGGATATCATTGTCCAACACTATCAGCATCATGTTTGTTTAGTGTTCAACTGATTTACGGCTTGTGAAATTTGGGGCATTGAGCATCGAACAAAGTCAAGGTCGACAATCTATTGTGTTGATACAAATTGATTGATCTAGTACAATAAAAAACAAATTGATTGATTTAGTACAATCAAGAGATAGTACTAAATCAATATTGTATTTCTTAAAGCTACGAAAGTGTTGAGACAATGGCACATAGCCAAGAGTAATACTCATTATACAAGAAACTACTGAAAGTGGCTGACGAGTATTCATGAACCTCAGAGTATAATGACCTGATCAATACAAAAGCCTTAACTGGTCACGAATGTAACATGAAACGAGAACAAAACTTGTCGCATAAAAGACGGTACCAATACGAGACACAAAACTACGCCAAAAGTTAACCATATTATAATCACGCACACCCAAACTCACCTCCCAACCTTTCCGGTTATGCGGCCGTGTGACTTGGAGGAAAACGTTCGGACGTACTGCAAGGTAACACCAAAAAGAGTAGGTCCTACCTGTTTACATGCATAGGCAAAATCAGAAACAGTGAGTTAAGCAACATCCCTTTTTCCTGAATAACAAAGAGAAATTCAGGTACAACAATTCAGCACTAGCACTTTGTGAAGGATCAGGCACGCGAAGATTCTGATCGATGATTCAAGCAAGCTCGCGGAAAGCGAAAATGCGACAGACAAAGAGAGAGCAAGCTCGTAGGCAGCAAATCTGGAAACAAAGCAAGCTAAATTACCTTCAAATCACATGATCCAGAGTTTTTCTTGGCATGCTTCTGCCAGCCGACTGCTATTCCAGTATCTGGTCCCAGAGAGAACTGAATCTGCAGAGTTACAGTCACAAGCTTAGGAGAGCTTCTAGAACACTGGACAATGCTTACACAACAACGACTTCATCTATGATCTAGCCCCGTGTGATTCCAATAATAAGTCTTGAGCAAAGCAACTGCCGGATATGCACTGGCACAACTTACATTTCCTGTCGTATCCTCAGACAACTGGCGTGACCACGTTTCTGAAAGGGTTATCGTTCCATCACGTAAAGACAACGATACACCAAGAGTTCCTGTTGCATGTGATGACAACTGCCTGCAGAAATCAGCGCAAGTAGTCTCGAACGAGTCAGCAAGCATCTACAATTAATTAGCTTCAAGCCGAGGATCGATCAAAGATCGAGGCTTAAATTTCTTGTACAAAATCCATGATTTAGAACACTCATGAGTTCATGATGTCGTTGCTTGTAGGCGTAGCAGGTTGGATAAAGATATGTGCAACGACGAAGACCCACCTCGACGTTTGCAGACTCAGAATCGAACGGATGCCAACCATTCCGAGAACCTCAATGGAAGATACCGGCGATGTTTGACGACGAAGGACACAGGTGACAGTACCCCCACCCATACCTCTCCTCAAGGCCATATTTCCTCCCAGGACCACAGTATTCTTCTTCGAAACCTGAGCTTGGACTTGAGTTGCCATGGCCATTCTGTTACATTATACATTCGAATGAAATATGAGCAAATTACAATATCTAAAAGCAGAAAACTGCGACCATAAGCTCAGTAAACTGCTTGTGCAAAATTTTGCTCGAAAGTAACGACAGCAATCGATATCAATCTCTCTATACCCCTGATTTCGTTAGTGTTGATCATGTTATGGCTAGTTACAGTGGGTCGCATGGAGTGCAGAGCCCGATAACGCCATATTGAACACTTGTCTCTTAACAACAAAACGTCTGATCGAGACGAGCAGATGATGAAAACCTTGAACAAAAACCTCAACCATGACTTACACTAAGCATGGAGGCATCAGAAGTTTTCAAACTTGGATGAATATAATCAAGGTGGTTGGAAAAATGCGAGGAATTGATACCAAACGGCTAGTGGGAACAGCTCCAGATACAGTTATACGACCTTAAACCGCAGACCTTACACAGTCTTAAATTACATGGCCAAAGTAATTATATGTAGCTCCGTTACCCGTGCATTGTAGGGCCAGTATCGTAGGTCTTGAGCATTTGCACGGCAGACATGTTCACAAGCATGGAACCACGGTGATGAATGTGTGAGGCTAGCTTGCGCTCCTCCTGCCGCTGTTGCAGTCTCTCGAACTCTTGTCGCACTTCATCCCTGGTTTTCAACTTTGGTCCCAGCTCCAAACCCGACGTCAAGCCTTCCATCCCATACAAGTCATAGATTTGTCGCTTACGCTCATCACTGAGAATTTCATACGCTTCGCGTATCCTTTGAAAGTTTTCAGTTGCAATATCTTGCATCTGGATTATGATAAATTTCAAGACAACAGCGTATTAGTTAACAGTCTGTTCAGACGAAGCTTGCTTCGTACTGTACAGAATTGTATAATCTACTTGTAACTAACATCTTTGGCCAGCCATAAGCATGAAAAAACATCAGAAAATATACGTGCTCAATTCTGCAGATCATTCCAGGTCCTGTCGAAAGACTGAGTAACACGGTGGCTCCTTAACCCTCTACTACATAGATTCTTCCAGAATTGAGCCACTATCCAAAAGTAAATGCTTCTCTTCCCGACACAAAAGATATTTGAGAACTTAGAACCATTCGAGTAAGAAACGCTTCCCGCAAGGAAGTCAACTCACAATAAGTCTTGATCCCGGTAACCTATTCCCAAAATAATTCTACTTATCTACACACCTACTCTACTCTCACACTTAATGTCACTTCCTGAACAGCGGAAAACGTAAGCTACCCTGAGAACACTAAAACTTTCATTCTTACCCCCATGTAAGGCACCTACACAGTAGAAAAAACCAGAGAAAACACTTAACTGCAAGAATCTCTCCTGAGACTATGAAATCGACTCGAACAGGCAGAGAGAAATTACAAAGTCTCGGGTCCAGCAGCAAGTAGTTTACATTGCTTATATATGAAGACAAAGTATTATGTTACACAAGCTAATTCAAATTCGACAATTCTCTTCGTTTCACATTCGAATCAGCATGATCTGCTACCATGAAAATTCTTAACCTCTTTCGATCAAAACGGACCGAAATTGCCCTCGAATTTGATCGATATAGAACCTAAACTCTCGTGTACACCACAAAGTGCATAATTCACAACCAAAAATGACGAATTTCCAAGCAACGCAGCTACAGAGCAGTAGTGATTATACACATAAAGATTTTCAAAAGAATACAAGACCTGAATGGTTTGGTGCTTGTCCGGATGATAAATCTGCGCCCATTGCCGGTAAGCTTTTTTTATATCCTCATCAGACGCATCTGGAGAGAGATGCAACAAGGCATACAGCTCTCGGGCGGGCTGCCCGTCCGCGTCCCTCGTCTCCATCTCCTCCTTCTAATCCTTAAATCATGCGAACTCCGGAACAATTTTCGATAACGAAATCCACTACGAGTCCGAAAGCTCGCTCTTGAAACGACCCCCTTCCTCCGCCTTCCATCGCATTCAAAAATCCGTCTGCCAACGCACGTCAATTTGCAATTCCTCTACACGATCCACATGATTAGCATCTAATCCTCCGAGCACGCGAATCGATCCTGCTTCTTTCCTTCGCTCGCGTCGCTGCGCTTCATGTTTTCTTCCTGTTTTGTTTAAGCGATCTGTGTCAGTCAGTCCTCGTCCTCTTCCATCGTGACGGGGCCCCAAGTTCTCATCACTCTCAGCAGCTTGCTGACCTCACCTCCCTCCATGTCAGCCCTAATGAATGCGCCAGCTCACCCTCGCATTCGCGTCCTCAACCCGGTTCGCCCATGGGGCTAGCCGCTAGCACCATTTTCAACCCATCTCGAATCCCTCTTAACAATGATTTTCGCCCTTCATTCCAAAACTTATAGATATAAAAAATTACTAAGTTGGCACTATTTTATTATTAAAAAATGATGATTTTTTCAAAATTCGTTAGAAAAAAAATTAATACCATTCAACTCAATATGAAGCATTACAATATATGCAACTAGAAACCTATGGCTATGTGTGTAATAAAATACATCTATATGAGTCATTATTATTGACGTAATATTATACAATTTCACCCACAAGTACATAAAATTAAATGAAAGACTAATCTGATAATTGATATTAAAAACCTAAATTCCAGATTTTGCATTAAAAAAATTCACATTATATTCAGTCTATATCATTTCTTTTATATAAATCTATGAAATAAATGTTCTTGCTCAATTAGTTAATAAAAAAATTCATAACACATGTTATATTTCTAAAATAGTTAAATATATTCTCCTATAATATAATTTAATAGAAATAATAATGATGAATTCTGTCTTCTTTGATTTGAAACTTATTGTATACATTTAGATTATGCATTTTAATTACATCCATTGATGTATATGTATCATCACGTGAATGGTACCTATATTGGTTTTAGATTCATTCAAGTGCTAAAATATTATGTCGTATGTATCATTCAGAGTAAAATGAGTATTTCTTCTGTTCCGGAGTCTAATCATCACAATGATCACATTGATCTCTTTTAGATAGTTGCAAGACATCACGTGATGATGTACAAATGAAATTGTCATAGACAATCCACAATATAGAGTAGAAACATACCAACGTTTAGATATGGATTGTTGTACTCTATGTTAAACCAAGAAATACTATTTGAAAATTTGTCAAGCCATAAACCGTCAATATCTATACTAGTTATGTACCATTGAAGTCTAGCTGCAACAATTAACGTATTATGAGTAACACGTTTTCAGCATGAACTATATTTTAGTCATGTTTTTTGACAAATATCAAAACATTTCACTCATGTAAGAAAAGGAATACATGTTTTCTAAATAAAATCATGAGAATATATATCTTATTGAATTTTTTCATATTTGTAGCATATTAAAAATCGTCTTAAGAAAAAAAAATCTTCTATTCAAAGCATCTGATACAACATTGGGTTCAGTTTTTCATTTTATGAGATCTTCTTTAATGGGAATATTTCAGATGATTCTCGATGCTTTTTCCCGAGTAAGTATAAGTAGTCAGAGCCCGCGTGTGACCACAGAAATATATCGGACTTTTTACGTATTGGTGCATGCATACAGTCTCCTCTTCGTGGATCTTTGTATTGTTATCACACGCTGAAGCACATTCCTCCTATGCGTGAGCAGTTGCAGTTGGCCAGTTCTTGTGAATAATCTCATTCTGTTCTCAAATTATCCACTCGCATGCACTCATTCATACATGCATGAAATATGGATGTATGTAATTTTTAGGATATTCGTGAGACTATGAACTTCTCTTCCCAGAAAATTTCTTTATTTAAATATATTGCGTAAGTATATCAATTATTCATAAATTCATTCCAAATATACATGTCTTGTCATAATGTCCATGAGATGTAATTTTTGCATACTTCGCCTGGTCTCGACACTTTGAATTAACACTAATTATTCATAGTTATTTTGTCAAGTACTTACAGTGATATCTCTCATATGTCTTCATAAAATAAGTCAATGCATCCTTATTCTTAAATCATTAAGAATTTTGTTTACCTCAAAACAGATGAGATATACCCCTTATATTTTAAGATCCTTATTCTTAAAGCATTAAGCTTTATGTTTGCTTATAAACTGATGAGATAAATCTTCTTGATTTAAGGATTCGTATGTTAAATAAAAATCAAATAACTCTAACACCTGAAAACAAAAAATAGAAAGAGCGTAATGCGTTGAACACATATCATACAGTTGAGACAATTCTTGAACAAATTGAGGAGAATAAATATGTACATGCCCACCAAAATCTATCAATAGGTTCTCTTGACATGTATCTCTTCTTTTAAAATCTTTTACACATGAAGGAATTGTGTTATTGTCAGTATATGTTTTACTACAATATATTATACTTAGATGTAATTATGCTTTTAAAAGTTTGAAAACATTTGCTTTTAGATTTGTTGTTAAGTTACATTATTGACAAATTCAAATTTTCACACACAGCAATTGATGGATATTGAGCGAATATCTCTTCAATGAAAATAAGAGTTGAAAAATATTCCACTGAATTTATATGTTAAAAGATAAATTTTCTTCAAATATATCAATCTATAATTTCATATGTTATGGAGCACAGCAAGAAAAGTGTAAAATGTATGTTTGACCAAAACATTAATCATTCACTTACTGAGTTAACCTTATATTGCAACAAGTAGTAGCTTTATATATATTTTTTCTAAAAATGGACAATTCAAAATACAAATTCTTTCTATATTTGGTCCACAATTTTTTTTTCACTTTTTTCACTGCATATCAAAAAGTGCAATAATTGTTATACTATATGCCGAATCATCACGAGAAATGAATAAATATTTAACTTTGCAAAATTAGTAACAGTACATGCAAGGTAAACTCACGTACATAAGTTAAACATATAGATTAATGTAATATGAAGTTGAATTTTTTCTGGGATAATATAATGACTGATATATTTCATAAGAAAAACTAGCTTTTGTTGTGAGAATGTATAATTTATGCATAATACATGTATAATATAGTTTCGATGAATATATTTAATTGAAATTTGAATTTCATGAATGTTATGTTCCAAATTAATATGTATCACTAGATAGCCGTCTATGGACTTGCTCTGTGGTAGGCGAAACTAGTAGATTTCTGTAAAATATTTGTAATCAAATGCAAGTGGTAGCGAATCTGGTACCTGGTACCCAACACGGTTGATTTGACTTGTTATAAAATCTCTAAATGAACAGCATGAGGTGAACATCGACACCTCTGGTTCTCCAAGAATAAAAATTTGGGGTTCTTAGTACTGTAACGGTGGAAGGACTGAGCTGGAGATAAGTTGCGATCCATCGCGTTTTATGTAAAGCATATTGCCATTGCCACATTTCACCTCAACTTATATCGTCATATATGGGTTCAGGTAACACAAATATGCAAAATGCATGATGATAAAATTTGGAGATTTCTTCTTCTATTTGTATCGTCTCCCATCAATTTTGCCATATTACTTGGGAAAAACTCATAATGTTGATGTAAGAGCTTGTGCTTGTTAGGCAAGTTGCTCACCATGCATTGAAGCCAACAGTTCGTTACAGTGAAAGAATGCTGGATTAGAATCATATGATCTGAAATTGCCTCCTCTTATGATTATTTCCACGGAGGTATGCTGTAACTGTCTTGTACGAACAGTTCTGTGCTTGCTTTTCAACTGCTAAATTTCCAAACTTCCGGGGTCCAAAGTGTCCTTCAACACCTGGAGTTGTGAGACTCTTCAAGCAATGAGAATATTGAACAAGAGTATTCTGAATCTTGTTGTACGTTGAGAGTGAACGAGATAATCAACGTCCAAAGGCGTGAGAGCGGAACTGAACTCAAGGAACATCTTCTAGATTCGAGTGAAACTCACTCCTTGAAAAGCTGATTTCTGCACCAGAAGAGTCTACAAAAACACGGTATATGAAACAACATCCACATGCTCCTTGGAACAGTTTCAGTTTTGAAATCTAATTCCCAGCTTCAATTTCACAACCTGAAGCCTGCGGACTAATATTTTTCAACATTTACCAATTATTCGGTTATGGCTTACAGACTGGCTGTCATGCCAGCAGCACGGAGGCCAAACTAGTTCTCATTAAAGAATAGATTCTCAGATCCACGATGTATGTTCACCAATTATTTTGAGGTTCGCTGCGTTCACAACTCAGTCGAGCTAGTAAAACTTTTGGCTAGAACGGTTGTTCTAGCCGACCGTATGCTATACGGGATGACGGTATACGTACACCGTTCGTGTGTCACCGTCACCCAGTGGGTTTCACAGTCATCGCGCCCAACACGAGGGTGATTAGTGAAAATACGTCGAACAGCTGGAGGTTAATCACAAATGTCTGTGCCTTGCATTGCACTTGATGCAAGATTTGGAATAGATCGGAAACCGCAGATGATCAAAATGTCCAGATTTACATCTCAATTTGAACAAGTAGTTATCGGGAACATTGTCTATAGCATAGCCGAACTTAGTGCCCAATCAGTATCTTGTGAGGCAAGTTCAAGGCTTGAGATTAGCAGTCTCGACGGGCAGAAGAAGCCCAAGTCTAGAGACATATAGAAACTGCTCCTGCTGGAAATTATGTAGGAAAGGATTCTGTGTCCAGATCTTTCCCTTCCGAAAAATCGAGGTCATGTGAACGTTTTGAAGCCGTTTCACAGTCAATCGCCAGAACTTTTGTCAATACAAAGCTTTGGATAAACAAACAACAACCTGACCACCGCAAAGATTTGAAGAAACAAACAATAACAATCCACGGTCATGGATTCGTACGTGATAACGAGGGGGGAATAAAGCGGGGAATAAAGGCGGGCAAATTGCCGCTGAATATGATCATAGATCGGAGTAGCTTCAGAAAAATTTCCATTCAGAGGGAAGGCTAGAGCAAACAGGCTAGAGCATGTATCATTGAGCAAAATTGCAACGTCATGTATGGAACACCGGTTTGTGGAAAGTTTCGGACTGGAGAGCCTTTGTTACGTAAAAAGCTGCAGCCAGGATACCCTTCAATACGGAGGGAAGGGTATCGAGAATGATCTCGATAACCATCAAGATCTCGGCTAATGAATTTTGGTACTGTAAACTGATCTCCAAAATTCTCTGAGTGATATCTAGTGTCATGAAATTAATCTGATGAACTCGATCACCTTGTTGGCTCCTCTACTCAATCAGGTTCTGTAGGAGCCACAAGAAGCACCGGGTGATGTTTCTGGTCTTTCGCTCGACACGTGTCTCACATCGATTGACCATGTATCGAATTTGAATACACAAGTATTCGGGTGATTTCTTCACGCGACGGTGACAAAGGAGAGACCGTCACCACGGTGACCGTTTGCCGTCAGCCCACAGGCGTACGGTCGGGGTTGATATAGCCTGCAGTGTCCCGGCAGACCCGGATTCGACCGGAAGTTTTCTTATATGTTATCGCAGAGTCCGGTGGCTGTGGAGGATGTAACATTTAGAGGAGTCCCCGTCTAGGGTTTGCGAGGTTCTCGTTAGGGTTCTTAACGATCGACAACGTCTGGAGAAAATCCTTTTCCACTTTGTCACGAGCTGACGCTCCATTGCTCTCGTACTCTTGCCATCCCCGCCTCACCAAGCTCGTCAAAATGGTGGCCGCCAAGAAGACCGTGAGTCCTCGGTTCTACCCTGTGTGGTTTGTTCGATTCGAATGTCTGTACGGAAGTAGTGCTGCAATGTCGATTCGTGTGTTAGATCGAAGCTTTTGGCGGCCACATGTGCTTTGTTGACAGTGAAGATGTTGTCTGAGTTGCGTGATTAGTCGAAGTCTGTGAAATTCCAGGCACTTTGAGTCCGATAGCTTTCAGAGAGAATTGTGTCACGGAGATCTCTTTAGGGCTGCGCTCGGAGTCCTTATGCCGTGAACGAAACTTAAGAATATACTGGAACGTTGGACCACTTGTTTTCCTCTCAGAAAAAGGCACAGGAGAGCATCAACAACAGGTTGGCGCTGGTTGTGAAGAGTGGAAAGTTCACTCTTGGGTACAAGACTACCCTCAAGTCTCTTCGCGGAGGAAAGGGTGAGCAGTCGACGATTTGCATTTTTGACGTTCTTGAGAAGGTTTCTTGACATACTACTCGAAGTGTGCACCCGGGATTCCACTTAATTCTCACTCTGTGTCGGCTGCAGGCAAGCTCATCATCATTGCTAACAACTGTCCTCCTTTGAGGAAGTCAGAGATCGAATACTACGCTATGCTTTCCAAGACCGGCGTTCATCACTACAGTGGAAGTGAGTGCAGTTACATCTTTGAGTGTCGTATTCAATTTTGTGTCGTGCCTGTCATACGCAGTGTGAATCACGCTGCGTGTATTGCAGCGGGATTCACACTGCTATAATCATTTCTCAAATGTAGATTACGGACTTTCTTGCACACTTGAAACAAAGAAGGTTGTCTCGTCACTCATATGATATGAAAGTTCATATTAAGAAGCCTCTGCTTGTCATCAAGCTAAAGAGGCTGGTGTACATCTAGGCTTCTGATTATGTGATTTGCATACAATGAACAGACAACGTTGATCTCGGAACCGCTTGCGGAAAGTATTACCGAGTCTGCTGCCTCAGCATCACCGACCCAGGTATAAATCCACTCAGAGAATTCCTAGTTTTCATAGATGAAGGGTCTTTTCTTGTTGTTCTTCTGCTGTTTACGTGTCTCCCAGTTGGAGTCTATCAGAAACATTTATTCGAGCAGAACGCCTTTGCACCCACCTATAATGCTTGCTATCTGTTTACGAGGGACTAATGCTTCCATTTTTTCGTTTTGATCAGGTGACTCGGACATCATCAGGTCCATGCCCACCGAGTAGATTATATTCCTTGGAGCTGTTACCATCGAGAATGATACAAACTATCATGAATTGAAATTTTCGCCGGGTGTGGGTACAGTAGAAGTCTTGAGAATGACTGTCCTAATTGTCAAGGTCTAAGGCAAAGGGGAAGGTAGAGTCAAGCTGGGTGATTATGTTGTCATTCTGCTGCTGTGCTCATCATACAGGAAGCCAGGAAATAGTACCTCACAGTGTTAGACTCTCGCACCAGACGGTTCGTGAGTTTTCGAAAGGTCTTTATTTCAAGTTTTGTGCCAGACTGTGATGGGAAGTGGCTGTTGAATGTTACCCGTTACCCCGGCGTTTTCAATAAATCAAGATTATATGAGTCAATTTTTGGAGGAATTTCTTGTGTCACGGAAATATACTATGTTCAAACTGCGATATTTGAGAGGGAAAAAAATGCATATATTAAAAACGCTTACATGTATACAAATCGATATACGAGCTATAATGTATGTCATTAACTCCGAGTTTATAGACAATTTGTGTGCTTATTGTCAAAAAACTGTTAATATATGCCGAGTACATGGACGAGCCGTGTGCTTACGGTCATAATGGTCATTATTCCTGAGTACATAAAAATATCTCGTGCTCATAGTCAATACATTTAATTTCACTTCTACCCATCGGTGTTATCTTGTCAGGTCAATGTGCTAAATGTCACATGGAAGGGAAAAGAGAATGGGAATTGTGGGAAATAAACAATCGTAAAATTCGACATGAAAATGGAGGAAAAGTAGTAAAACAATAAAGAATGCACTGTACATATACATTGATATTCTGCAATAAAAAATGAAAACGCAAGATATAACAAACAGCAAAGCGGGAAATTGAAAAACATTGAGAATATTTATACATTGAAATCTTGCACCATAGGAAAAATTAGTAAATCTTAAATAAAGGAAAGCATATTTTTACGTTGAAGTCTTGCACTACAGGAAAAAAAAGCAAAGTTTGAATAATAGTAAAGCAAAATAGGCGGAGGCGAGGCACTGCCAGTATAATACATCTCCATTTACAACAACCGTAATGTAGTTCACTCCAATTTACTACGATGTATACTCGATAACCTGAAAGAAAAGTGTATGCACACCATGCACTGGAAGAATACAGACAATATCCATATCTTATTAAACAAATAAATTCTCTGAACAATTGACCAGAACTTACCTTCTATATCTTGATACATGTCTAGCCATATCCTGTCAATTAAACTCCGTTCCCCCTGCAACTGTCTACACTGACTACTGGGCCTCGGATACAAATACCCTTTGAAGTCGGATAGTTAAATATACAATCCAGCTAACAAGATTGTAACGTCAGTAACATATGTCTCGACAATCAATTTTGAGAACCGTTTGTTTGTGGTCCCGTCATTTCCTCTTCCGGCACATGGAAGCCAATTATGCCCCTCTTTTCTCCGGTCCCAAAACAGCGCGTGCAGTGGCTTCTTCCACCGCCGCTGCAGTCCCAACACCTGGTTTGACAACATCAAAAGAGAAACACGTTCAGGAAGATGTTTTCTTGGCATATTCTTGTGTTCAAGCACATCAAACACGAGAATCTGCGACTTGTGAAGAAATTCGGATTATGCTATGTTGCACCTGACGTACCATGACACGAAAGCAGAAGAGCATGGTTAGGCACCTCGCTGAACAAAGGGGTACAATTCGAGAAAAGGTAAATTAGATGAGCTGAACTACGCACCACTTGGGCCATTCTCCCTTTGGTAGCATTGCAAGCTCCGTGAAGTTTGTTCGTCCTGATTGAAAGAGTCACGAATGTGGAAATCAGATCAGGACCAGAGAGAGGTAAAAAAAGATGAACCAAACAGAAATATAATAATGCACACATCGGAAAATTGAAAGTCTGAGATGGTTGATTGCAGTGAAGGAGGTCAGGAAGGAATGACATGTCAAAACCCTAGAAATATGACGAAATTGGAGAGAAAGACCTGAATCTATGAGAGAATTCGGAAAATGTAGATGGCTTTCAGGCCCAAGTTTCATTGTACCTCTACCAGAGCAACGATTGCACCTGACTTTACCGGTCCCTTTGCATATAACACAAGGAGGATCTGGAAGCTTTTTCTTCTCTCTCCTCACATTCGACTGCAGCCAATTTACCAGCCTTGTCATCAGACGTGCGTGATTTCTACCGGAGAATTGACAGGAGTAAGTCAATGATCGCAGCTAATTGCCTCGAATATTGGAATATTTTTTCTCTTCACCCATGCAGAACAAAGGAATGATCAAATTCGCCAAGCTCGCACCTCAGTCTTGACGACCCAGCTGCGTGATGGCCGCATCCAGGTGCCTCCCATCAGCCCATAAGGCTTATCAAACGGATTTTGTGAGGCTGCGTTCACGGGACCTGAACCTGCACTGGCGGCCGACAATACACCCGCCATAATATCCACTCCTCCAGACGACAGCGTCTTCGTACTCGCCTCCCCCTGAATTCCCAATCGGGAAGGACTCACGCCCAACGAACCTGCTCACCTCACACCCGACACCAACCGGCTCAGAGTCTCCATGCTCATCTCCGAACCAAAATTCCAGGCCTGCTTGCTGCTGTTCAACTGGCGTCGCGATTAAGCGCACAAATCTCTGACCTCCATCGAGAAATTACCCAATCGTTACACGCGTGTTACTCGCAGTTACACAATGATGTCGTAAATGCTGCCAGGTGACAGATCGACATTCCTGCTGATCATTCTCGAGTCCCGCAGCATTCGACGAAAGGTAGATAGAGCTCGGAGGGCACAGCGCGGGCGAGCCTCGGGGCTCATATCTTGCCCGGGGCTCGCCCGCGCCATCCACAACCGGTGAGCGAGTCGCCCGCTATACGGGCACCCGAAATAACCTCCGGTCTTGAAATACGTCCGTGAAGAAAACGGGGCGAGTTTAGGGTTTTAAGTTGACGTTGTCGGACGACCCGTTAAACCCCGAGCTGGACGATGTCCTGAACTCGACCTGATGCTGCCGTGCAACGATTTTGTCGCGGCCTCTGGCTTCGGATTCCAGCTCTGATTTTGCACCGATTCGCGGGATTGAAGTCTTCGCTGGCGCTTCTCGTCAGACAGAATTTGGGCAGTGATAATTGAACTGAAGCGGTATTGAGAGCTGGTGACCATTTACATGTTTGGCAGATTGACCTTTAAGCTCTGCCTGCCGGACTTCAAGCACAATGGCGGCATTGAAGTCTGTCAAATCAGTCAGTCCAGCTAAAAGGTTGCTCTATTTTCCATGTCCAGTTTTGTTATCACATGTATGTTGTGACTCCTGCTGGCGTGGTTATGTATTGGTGACCGCATGGATTTTGGTTTCTCGGTCGTGTTCTATTATCTGGAAGTGAAATTTTGGGTAGTTCAAGAGGTGCACGTACATGACATGGGAAAATCAGGCATTTGAAAGAGGACTGGCGAAGTATCATTACAGTTCTAGTGGAACACTGAAGAGTCGCTCTCAAGCGTGGCCTCTAATGCTGGGTTCTTCGAATTTTGCCGAATGGAAAATGCTGAACATTAGCAGATTCATATCCAGCGAAGCTTGCCATCTTCATGTTGCATAATTCGTGAATATCATTTTGCTCTGAGACTGTTTTGAGAGTTTAGACCTTGGAATGTCACGCAGGAAGCGTCAAGTTCCTGGAGAGGCTGCATCTGAGAGCAATGGGAAATCGAAATTTGGTGGGTTCAAGAAGGCAAAAATGGGTGAGGGGTTTAAGTCCAAATCTGAAGGATTTAAGCCGAAATCTCCTTCATCGAAATTCGTGAAAGGAAAGAATTTCAGCGGAAAGGAAGCACCAGCGGGTGAGGGGAAATTCATCAAGAGTAAGAGTGGAAAACCTCCTTCAAAATTTGATAAGGCTGGAAAACCTGCTCCAAAATTTGTGAAGAAGGAACATTTTTCTTCTAAATCTGATGGTGACGATACCGAGGGTGCATCTTTGGGGAATACTCAACCTGAAACACATCTTGATCGCAAGGCGAGAAAGGTGAGCCATCCATGATATTTGACAGATCCGCAATGTTTACAAGTTTTCATATGAGTTGATTGCTCATCAATACGGAATGGGCGTTTCAAACTTAATTCTCTTTGAAAATTGAACAAGGTTTTAACCAGCTTGAGGCAGGACCTGTTGATATGAAGTTACTACTCTTCTAATAATTTAATGTTTTTTTAAAGTGTCAATGACCCTTTTTGAATGCGTTGCCCGTATTTCTTCAGGAGCTTGCCGAGCTGAGGAAGAGTCAACGTAGGCCCAATTACGACCTGGAGAAGGTGTGAACTCTGTGATAATTGAACTCCGGTTTTGACTATCTGCAGTCCTTGAGGAGATCATGCCGTATTATCAGGACTCTTCTCAGTTTTAGGAATGGTCGTAAGGACACTGGCAGCTCTGTGAAAGCTCTAAAGTCATCTGGATGGTTTGTATACATTGGCGTAAAGTATGAATCTCCTTGCTACAGGAAGTCAAACGTATGTGGGAAAAGTTGCGGCAGAGGGATTTGGAGAAAGAAGAACGAACGAAGTAAGGACCTCTGGTGCACTTCTTTTTCAGACAATCTCAACAGTGTGGAAAAATCTGATAATGCCGTATTTGAACCGTTTCTACCTACAGCGTGTTCTTTTCCGATTTATGCTAGAGTCCTTCGCACAAATTGTGTAATTTGTGCAATTGTGCCCAAGTTAATTGACCGATCTTCCCAGATATTATGACTTACAGAGGTTGCACTTTGTTGTAAACACTGGCAAGAGTTTGGATGTCGGTATTCGTAATGAAACTTGATGGCTCTAATTCTCGTACCTGGCTGCAGGTTGGTGACACAAACCCTGACAAAGATGAAAGGAAAGCTCATGGAGATGTCTACTTCTCATGTAACTTCGCGAGTTGTGCAGGCAAGTTGTGTTTGTCTGTACTTTGACTTCTTGAATTACTCAGCTCGTGAAGACATACCGGATATGAGCTTGAACTAAGAGCCTGAGATACTTTTCTCGCAGTCGTGTGTGAAGCACTGCACGAAAGCTGAACGAGATGTAGTTTTCGAGGAGCTGCGACCACACATTTTGACCCTGACAAAGGAGCCTTATGCTTATCACATCGTTCTGAGAATGCTGGATCACGGTACATTCAGTTCTCGAGTGCTCAGAAATTTGATGCGTAGAGTTAGGCTCTAGTATAGTAAATGCATAATGATTATTACCTGCATAGCATCATTTGGCTCTGAATCAGTGTGTTCTGTGCATCAAGATGTTACTTGGGAGAATCTCGACGCACCTCGGTTATGTTATGTAGTGTTGACATGGGAATTGTATCTTTGCAGCATCTAAACCACAGCTACTTCATATCTTATCAACACTTCATGGCAATGTCGTCTCACTCTTGCGACATCCCGTCGGTTCCGCAGGTACACCATAGCATATTATAGGTTTCCTGTACTGTTGTAGGTTTTAAACGGTCACTGCTTTTGCTTAAAACGTGTTTCCCGTGGAACTGGCACTCTCATCTCGTAAGGAAAGATCAACTATACAATGTGACTGTTCTGTTTTCATGATCCCTGCGTTGTTTCTGTGGTTTTTGATTATATTATCAACCACGATCATTATCTGTTCTGTTTTAGTTGTCGAGCATGCGTATCAAATGGCCACTGGTCACCAAAGGCGAGAGCTGGTCTCGGAATTTTACTCACCTGAGTTTCGACTTTTCAAAGGTGTTTCTGTGACCGAATTGGACGGCGGGTGAGAAAACAACCTTTTGCTCTTCCCGTTGTGTGCATTATTATCGCCGCATGGATCTGTGCTGTAATTGGCTCCCTCTTTACCAGCTCATGGAGTCTAGACAAGTGAGTTAGATCCTGGTTTCCCGAAAGCTCGATTCGTGTATGACCTGGGAGTTACTTGCTTCAAGTTCGCTATCTAATCAGAGAGAATCTTCTTCTAAATCAGATTGAAAGAGTTAATGGCGAAAGAGCCTGCGTCTAAGCAGAACACTATGGTAGAGCACATGATGCTGAGTCTCCAACCTATTCTGGAGAAAGGAATCGTCGATCACTCCATAACACACCGTGCTCTGGCCGAGTACCTCACTGTCTGCAAAAGGGTAACAACATATATTGGAATGTTAAATCTGTTAAATTATGGTATCTGTCCAGTTAGAGAGATGCTCTTAGTCCTCAAAGTTAGAAAATAATCTGCGATTACTAAATCCAAGTCATCTCCGCCTCCACACTCCCTTCTTTAAAGTGAAGCCTAATGTTGAGGTTTTCTCCAAGTTACCTGGTTGTCCTTCACTAATTTTTCTGCTCTGTGAATGCAGAGCATGGTGGAAGATGTTGTGAAAAGTCTGACGGGCCCTCTTCTGCTACGAATGATCCACACCCGGGATGGAGCAAGAATAGCCGTTACTTGCATCAACATGAGCACTGCGAAGGTGAGACCCTGAAAGTCTTGGATACTGGCTACTTCAAGTAGCAGAATAGTTTATTTTTCTTGATTACTTGATACTCGAACCTCGTCTGCAATGTCTGATCCACCGAGCAGTTTTCACAACTTTTATGAATTGGCTGTGGTTTTGCGGTCTTCTTAGACAAGCACTGTTGTTTTCCTTACCAGGAACGTAAGCTGATCATCAAAAGCATGAAGGGACATGTGAAGAAAGTAGCGTGCGACGAACACAGTAGCGCCGTAAGTGTTCTTCTAGCACCTTACACCTTGCCTTGTGGAGTGGCAAAGTTGTACCCAGCAACTAACAAACTATGAACATTATAATGTCCTTGTTCACATACATACAGCCGAGGGTCGTTCATGTCTTTTTGCTGTTTTACCAACATCATCAAAGTTGTGTGGTGTGGTGTGGTAATACTGTTGCTCTTGGTGATTATACAAGTCGCCAACTGATCGCATCTATATTTCTTCCTGCTACCAGCAGTCAGTGCAGTCCTCCTTTTCATCCTGCCTCTTGGCAGTTATTGTTTTCGGAGTTGTTCGAAGTTAATTTAGGCCTTAATGGTGTGTTCTCTGTGCAGGTTTTGATGGCCATATTCGACTTGGTTGATGATACAACGCTCGTTTCGAAGGTCTGAGAAACTAAATAAAGAACATGACGATTGATCCTAGCTACGTGCTTTACATGAGTGTGAAAATAAGTTGGGAAGTACCTAGTGAATTCTGCTGTCGGAGATTTTGTATTGGGATCATATTGAATCTCTATGGTTGATTTCAGGTTATCATCAGCGAGCTCTTGACGGACTTGAAGGAGACTATATCTCACAAGGTTGACATCCTGCTTTCTTGTTGTGGAACGTATGATGTAGATTGTAGTACAGAGCATGACGCCAGGTTCTTTGTAGGTGCCGTGAGGCCTTTTGGTCTCGTCTAACATTCAAATTTTTATCTTTGTCAGTATGGCCGGCGCTCTGTTCTGCACCTCCTTGCACCTGGAGAAAGCCGATACTTTCCGGTCGACCTCGTGAAACTTTTACAGCACCCAGCAGGAGTGTGCACTTTAACTCAATGTAAGTTTTTAGTGGGCAATACTAATATCTGTGACAAAATCAATGTTTCGTCAGTATCCAAAACTGCGGTATTCATTGTTAGGGCCATTTCTAATGCATGGTGATTGGTCGAATGTCATACAGTGGAGGAAGTTGCAACACCGAGCGAGGAGGTTGAACCTGCATCGTCAATCAAGAAGAATAAAGACAAGAAGGCAAAGAAAGTGGACAAAGATGTAGAAAAGGAAGCCGAACAAGAGGGGGATAATGAAGATATGGACATCGAGGATGGGCCGAAGGAAGTCAGGGGCGTGAGCAAAAAGGATCCAGCTGTCCGTAGACAACAACTACTAACAGCTGGTGATCTCGGCAAGGTACTCCTACACAAATGGGTCGTGTAACCAACTTCTGTAAGCGTTATGTTCACTTTCAAAGTAGTGTTCGAAAATGACTTCACCATTCACATATCAATTTGTTGTCTTTGATCGTCCTCCACAGAAATTGGTAGAGACCTGCGCCGAGATAGCGAAAGAACTTCTGCTATCCCCCACAGGTTCAGAGGTCATGTACGAGGTAAGCTTTTTCATGGTGGTCATAAACTTCTATTATGTTGGGCTCGGTGTTCCTGCACCTAGTTCTGCGTGGAGATCTGATTACTGTGAGTGATTTATGAAATTTGCAGGTAGCCATGGGTGGGATTGATGGAGTTCTTTGGAAAATAGCCGCAGAACAGTTAGTAGCTCTTCACAAAGCTATTGCTGAGCTAGTAGCCAGTGCTGAGGTGCAAAGCAGCGTAGATGACAAGAACGTCATGACGGAATATTTTTCGAGTCGCACTATCCGCAGACTGATAATAAACTCTATGGGTTCTCCTTTCGACAAGAAGACACCTTCATTTGCCGGAACTTTTTACGCCGATGCATTGAAGGGAAAGTGCAAACTTTGGGCGAAAGATCACAGGTATGCTATCTTCGCTTTCAGGGTTTCTACATCTTAGTAATGTCCACTTTGTATGAAACGCAGTCACTGAACATCGTCGTTCGAAATTGTTTTTGGGTGCAGTGCCAAGGTGATCTCAGCATATACGATTTGTAAAGATTCGAAAGCTAAGAAGGCCGCAAATGCAGAGATCAAGAAACTTGTTGATGCCGGGGTACTAAAGCAACAGGAAGAAAAAACCTAACTGCTTCAAACTATTCCAATTTTGTCCTAAATTTAATAAATTATTTTTCACAGCATTGAGCTCATATGAACTGCATATGTCCCCACCACCCATTCCATACATTCGCATTGTCCTTCCTCTGGCTCTTGGTACCTAGGGTTAGCAGGCGGATTCCCCCTGCTAACCCTAGCAGCATCTGCAAATCTCCCGGCAGCCCGCAGGGCTCTCGGGAGATTTGCAGATTGGAGATTGTGTACGCAAGTCTTCTGAAGTTCGGTGCATCGTGAGGTCGAACTCCTGATATTGCTCTTTCGTTTCTCGAGAAAAAAGTTGCACAAAATGTCCAAACAGTCCCATGATTTGAATGTGAAAAATCTAGTTAGCCTGTACCTGGCATGACCTTGCGATTTTCAGACTTCCTCTCTAAGAAGGGTAAGGCCAAAATGAATTCGTTCAGTTTATGTATCGAATAAAACATGTTTGTAAGAATCATCAATATTTATGATAATATAGTCGAAGTGATGAAAGATGGGATTTCTGTCATCAGGAGCTTGTTATCTAAAGTAACAGCTTTTTTTCTTATACTTCGTCATACGACGAAATTTACCTACTTTGATATTTAAGTGATTCTTGATTTATAACTATACCATTGTGGGCTACTGTGTTCCTCCCTTCCAGTTTCATAACTATACAGAACTTAAAACACGCCTCCTCGAAGGCACATCAAATGATCATCGAGGGCATGATCCAAAACACGTTCGCATTCCACATTGACTACTTCCTCAGGAATCTGATTGATGTCCGTGAAATCCAACTTTACAGTCTTGGAAAACTTAGTGTTACGTGGTAACATGTCCCAATTCCACGATTTTTTCACGTTGAAACTGATCGATTTTTTGTTACTACAGTAGTCTTCCAGGTAAGTACGGTTTGGGAGGATTTATTCGGTGGCGTACTTAGAGGAAGTGCTTATTAATAGAATAGGGAGAAGCTATAGGACAAAATAATTTGCGATTATTGCCTGACAATTCTGGAACTCAATAAAGATTACATACCGGAGTGTACATATGTATAATCTATTCGTAACGGTGAAGGAATAGTCATCAAGGTTCTCCTCTTTTTCAGAGGAGGTATAGAAAAAACTTGCGAACAACAACTAGTAAACTTATGAGAGATTCATGTATAAATTTTAGATTATTTTCTCATTTTAAAACTTGAACAAGAATTATAAAGAAATTACTTAGACAGGTCTTCAAATTTCTATAAAATAATTTTAATTAGACAAATCATTTCTTAATTTTTTTTCGATTGTAATATCAAATAAGTGTTAGCAATGTGATATAAATTTAGCAACAGTGATGCTTCCAATGAAAGGTCTCTAGATCTCAGCTATAAAATGTGTGAGACAAGAGGAACAACTACTAAAATTTCCGATTAAATATTTGATGAATCTAAAAAGAGTAGATTTTTCAATCTTGTTAGTTGTTTCATTACTTGAAGTTGAATGACAATTCCGTGAGGAACTTTGAAAATTTTCCCCAGTTCTAACTCTGTCCACTTTAAAGCACATGACCAACATTGGTACTTCCCCTTTGCTCCGAGGGTGAGAAAGGAACGTTACCACATGAATCAGTGCTAGAGCAGATCTAGACCGTATAAGCAATAACTCCAGCATTCGTCCGCTGTAAGAATTTATTGCTCATCGATTGATTTTAAAGACAAAAGAAAGTGATAAGTGGAACAATGACGCCAACTGATTCCACTTCGATGAACATGTGACAAGCATGTAGAAAAGATTTTGAACTATGATCGTTCCCCATGATTTGTGAAGCGACACAAACAAAGACGGGGCAATTGAAGAATATCCAGAGGTTTCATCCCTTGCTTGAGAATCGGGGCAACCTTGGTCAACACGAAGAGCAAATCAGACTCGATTCAAATCTGCAAGAAGTAGGCAATATAGTTTGACCAGATTGAGTGTTGCAGTGGGTAGCGATCTCTTTTGCTTTGCTGCTAATGTCCCCAAGTTGCCTCTGCTTCACTTCTTAACCTGGACTGGGCGAACATTTGACATATCCATTTGGGCAGAAAATCGGTAGGTTCGGTATGTGAGGGTGCATGTACTCTACAGCAGTTAAATTCAGTGTAATTGTTGGGCTGGATTTGTTGGAACTAACGCGTCATACACTCCAAACCAAACTATTTGTTATCCAGACCAGTTAAAGAGTGTAGTGACCGGGCAAAATTTCTTCAACTCGTAAAGACATGCAGCACGACACCCGATTGAAGGCACAAAAGCTAGTCAACGGGGCAGTTGACCGTCATGTTTATCGATCCGTTTATTACCAACACTATTATACAGCAGTCAGCCTCACTCTGGCCAGATTCGGATGTTCACTACATTCAGGACCATATTTCTTGCACGTATCCTGCTCCTATCAAATCTGTGGTCTTGTTCAAAGGTTGCCATGAGTCCACCCACCACCCCACGAGGAAAACAGAATGTGTGGTGAAAGAAATTCTAAATCGCCGTCAGCTATTGTGGAGTACATGCTCAACTCAAAAAGTTTCCCTGCTGCTCCCATCAAGCCCAATCACTACGCCGAAGTCCTATCTTTTCGCTAATTATACCTCTTCTAATGGCGTGTGGACAGCATGTCTAATTCCGATGGGCGCTATACAGAAACTGAATCTAGATTTGCAACCTGCTGAGCTCATGTCAATGAGTTGCAGCTCACTCTTCATTCAGCTGATGCAAAAAAGGAAAACCGAAGTATCGGACTAGTTCCGACCACAAGTGAAGTAAGAAATGACTTGTGCTGCCACCGTAATCTACAGTACATTACCGATCGGACATGACGAGCTCTACTGAGTTCTCGTCATGAGGATTATTGACATCGCCGGGTGCAACTTCGTGCACTCTGAACTCTCTCTCCCCCTCTCTCTAAAGGTTAAACATGACTTTGATGGCATTCCCACCTGATGCGCTGGTGGTGAAGGCATCCTCCACATCTTTTTGGTTGAAACCAAACCTGTGTGTGATCAATGGCTTCACGTCAATCTTACCAGTAGTTAGCAGGTTGATGCACAGTGGGTATGTGTTTCGATATCTGAAAACACCTCGAATGTCCACTTCCCTGCACAACAGAACCATGTTAACAGCATCAAAATTTTGCGCTGAACGACGTAAATCCCTCTTGGACCACATCACAGTTTGAAACGGGATAACACTGGATAGCACAGTCTGTGGATTAGACAGCGTAGTTGAAACCAAACCGTTCTTGGTGTTTTTGACAGCTTTAACTCTAAGGCCAATTATCGTGGCAATTAGCGGATTCGTGAAATCTTTCGACGAGGGTCAGTCTGGCACTGACAGATCATAAATGTTCTAGATTTGTGATCTAGAATAGTTCTAGACACGGAACGAAACAGACTTTTAATGCATCGGAGAGAACCCTTACCGGGCAGCTGCAGGTGTCAAAGGAAGATTCATTTCATTGTCCCCCATGCCTACAACGCAAACCATACCACCGGATCGAGTACACTTGAGAGATGTACTCATGGTCTTGGTGAAGCCAGCGCAGTCGATGGTGACATCTATGTCGGAACCCATTGCCTTCAGAATTTCTGCGACCTCCTGTTCAATATCCTGCAAAGAGCAGACAAGCGAAAACCATCATCAGCCAGCTTGGTCTAAAGTGGACTAGATTCGTTCAAGTAAACGACGAACCTTGGCTTTGATAGACTTTGAGGATGGTCATGACGCACGCCTCGGACAAAGAGAGGACTGGAAAACAAATTCGGCAGTGAGTAGGAAAGAAGGTGTACAAAACGAAACTGAAAAGAGGAAAAGGAATTTTCATGTCTTTTCGAGCTGCTAAGGGCGGCCATACCTATTATGCATAGATTATTAGGGAAACAACTTCCAAGGACGCCAAAGAACGTCCTGCAATCATGGTCAGAAAAGAGATGAATGGACGAGAATCTGAACCTCTATGTTGTGCGTGACTAGAACAGTGGCATCTGCTCCGAGTGTTTTGGCAACAGCCAAGCGATCGGGGTGGACATCGGCGAGGACGATTTTCGGAGCCCCAAAGGCACGGGCCACTAGCATGCTAACCAACCCAATGGGCCCAGCTCCCATGATCAGCACTTGCGTCTCAGCCCCCACATTGGCACGGCGACACGCATGTACTCCAACGCTCAAGGGCTCGCACATGGCTCCCTCCTCTAGAGATACATTCTCTGGCAGCTTGAAGCATAAGTCTCCCGGGTGAATGACCTGAAGAGCAATCACACGTTATTCTAGTGCATCAGCATAGCAGCCCTTGTCAAGTACAACCTGACAAAGAGAGAAGCTCCCTCTCATTCATTCCTCATGAAAAGTCTTGCTATCAACTCAGAAATAAGCTCCAAAGGCAATTATTTCCTGTATAAGCATATGGCCCTTTCCTGGAGACAATATTGCCACGATTCTAAAACATCCCTTCACAAAATCAATAAGGTTTACACCTGAAGAAAAAGAGTATTCCAAAGAAATAATGTGAAATATCTGTTAATATTCTACTTCACCTGTAAAGGTGGAACAGGGAATTCAGAAATTAGATTTCCTCTATAAAGTCAAAGGATCTCTGCTCAGGTCAGAATCGACAATTTTTAGAGAATGTCGTTAAGCCCAGAGTATGTTTTACTCATGTCGCCTACGTTGAATCTGGGTTGCTCTAATCTGGGGAATGATTACAGAAAGAAAGGAAGGATGAGATTTTGTATTATATACATACCTTGTTCGCAAGAGATCCGTGGACTGGAGGAGTTGCAAAGAATTTCATGTCACAGCAGAGGTTGTAAAATCCTTCCTTGCACAGCTTACATTTACCACAAGAGATGCCAGGCTCAAGGGCAACGCGATCGCCGACTTCAAGGTGACTCACGGCGCTACCAAGCTCTTCCACGATGCCCGCGCACTCGTGACCGATGACCATTGGCTCTTTCACGATGAAGTCACCGCATCGCATGTGCTGCATTCAACGATAAGCAAAACTGAGTCCCCCCAAACGATTTGAAGTTGTGACTATAAAATAATTCTCGCTGGTTCTGTACTGGTACATTCCATGAACTTTATTCAGCGATCAAAGTTAATGGTTGAAGACAGGATCGTGCTTATAATGTTTCACTGCTTCCGCATCCTCCCCCGAATCCTACAACGCTATCGCAACTGCTCAAGCTTCCCATTCACTGCAACTAAATTGAGAGATTCAACTTGCCTCTTTGGGAGAGAGAGCTCGATCTAGAATGCCAATCGAATTAAGTGATTGCAATCTCTTCCCACGAGTGTTATGAATAATCCCCACGGTAACACGCGTGGCTCGGTACGGCAGCTCGATAGAAACTATCACATGAAAAAGGAAACGACGGTTCGATGCGAAACATAAAGGGAGAAGTAAAGAGCTCGCGAGATTTATGGCACCTTTCCGTACACTGGAAATTGCATGGGCTCGTGCTCGAGCGAGAAGGACATGCAACATACCTTCAGATAGTGTACATCGCTGCCGCAGATTCCCACGGCTTTGATAGCGACCCGCACGTCATTGGGACCTGTAAAGGCCAGAACGAGCTCGTCGGTCAAACGATCGTTACAGCTTCGCGATCTGGAGAAGAAGAAGAGCAAGAGGAAGAGGGCGGACAATCTTTTACACTGCAGACGCACGAGACACTTTTCTCCGGATCGGCGGATTGCTCCGCCATTACTAGTCCATGCAACGACGTACCGAGCACAGCCGGCAATTCGAAGGGCTCGATTTTCAGGACGTTCACTCCGCAAACCCACGCAGCCAGATTCGGCGTGGTTCCACTTTCGGCCTGTACGGCAGCATCCGAACCTTCTCCTCCTCTCCCCATTCTAAATCCTGTACTCAGTCACCATCAACCAACCCACTCTGTTAGTCCATATTCCTCTAAACCATAGGCAAAGCCACTTCGAGTTCTCAATCTGAGCAATCACCACAATTTTCCTCGTCTACGGGCCATATCTGCATGCCCCCATGCCAATCACTTACTGAGGTTCGGCTATGGCTACGCTAGCTCCGCTCACCTGCAGGTGAAACTGGACAAGGCCCTGGACTGGACTCTCGATGAATTCTCTCGATGAATTTCGGGACTGGAGGATTCAGAAGCTCATGCGAATTGTTGACGCCCACTCTGATCGACACTCAAATCACTCACACTCGACGATGCGCAGCTGCTGACTTGCATTTTGTATTTGCTTCATTGCTCTGCTTTATAAAAGTAGAGCTGCGCAGAATGTGAGGGAGTGGCGAGTAGTGAGGGGCCGATTAGGCTCGTCAGCATGGGCACATGCTGGAGGCGACGAGTGACGGAGCCTTTTCTGCTGACTAGGCTGTGGATCCAGGTCACATTTTAGCTACAATATCGGAGATTCAGACACGTGGCTTCAAAGCAGTCTCGTCATATGTGCGAATCTCGGGACGAGGCTCATTTAGAGTTATATATTGGAGCTGCTATACCTACATTTTGAAAAAATACTGGCTGTATGTGGGGACGAATGTTTGATCTAAATCTGTCCACATAGTACAAAGTCATATTTAGTCAATTTCATACGGTTTTATTTCATTTTCCCTCCAAAATAAAATGGGTTGGTTTTAACTTTAGAATGTGAACTAACAAAATACATATTTTCTGTTTCAAATCCTTGATATAAAATTACAATATTAGATTTGAATTCAATACCTACTAACTCTTATCATCTTAAATTATGTATAGAAACATGATTTTTTTTTTACAAGTATTATATATATGATTGTTTTTTTAAATCATCTTTATTTCATACAATTATAATCAATGACCATCATAGTATTTTTAGATTATAATAAAAAATTATATCAAAGAAATATTTGAAATTAAAATTATATTAAGTTAGCTTATAGGCCAAGGTATGAATAAGGTTGTCAAGTGAACTTCTTTGATTAGCTTATTTTTTCAATAGATGATAGTACAGTGTACTTCTTTGATTGGCTTAATCTTTCAATAGAAAATTGTCTAGTTAACTTTTTTGATTGCTTTGATCTTTTAATGAATGATATGTGCAAATTCTCCAAATAATCTGATCTTCTAATAATTGATATGTTTATCTCATGTGATCTTGTCTCACGTTAGAACTTTCATTCATTCATTTTGTATATTACGTCGTTACGACTGTCAAATTTTAAAACTTGAAAGATATGAATAAGAACTATCTGCAATTGTAAAAAGTGCTTGCGGCCAATTACTATCCACCATATTTGCATCGTCGCATGATTCATCTCCCGTTTGATGAACTGCAAAAAATTCATGATTTCTTTGGAAATATAATCTCGGTCACGGTTAAATTCAAACATCGGAGATTGTGTTTTACGTGCAACAATAAGCATACTTCAGGTGCTATTTTTAAAAGTGAAAGAGTAGTCAGGTTCATGTGTACCCTCGATACTATATTGTTGTCGAAGAGTTTTTTGAAGATATATCGTCAAAGTTTCTATTTTTTCATTATCATTAGAACCGCATGATCAAATGCTAGTGTTAACATTGGTAGCGCGCTGTAACACTAGGGTTTAGAGAGAAGTTCACTCGAAGATAGAAACGTAAACTCTGAAGATGAGATATACCAACAATGGTTCTTCTCTCCCTTATATAGCTCTCACCAACAAGTACAAGGTGATAAGATCTAATCCCCACCATCCATCTCACTCCTAGTGGATGGATGACGTGGTGGATAACCCTAACAAGCACACGAATCGCTGACGTGGCGCACCCAACTAACACACTAACTAACACACTCAATCCTTACCTACGAGCACACGGATTGCTGACGTGGCACTGTCAACTAACACATCCACTCTGTACCTACTAAGTGCGCGGATCGCTGACGTGGCAGTTATGACTAGTGCACACTAAAGTATCTACATCAATATTTAGAGTAACCTCTACTTTAGTTCTAACTAACTAAAGATGGTTACAAACCTCCCTCCTTTTAAGATGCAACGTCCTCGTTGCACATACGTTCAAACTCTTGAACTATCAAAGGTGCATTTGCTAAATTTTTAGCTGGTTCCCAAGTTGATTCATACGATGGATAGACTTTCCATTGAATCAAATACTCTACTTTGGGGTACTTATGACCTCGAATACGTTTCTTGAGTATCTTTTCTACCTCAAACTCCTCATGATCTGCTATCAAGGTTGGAAGAGGAGGTGGTGCTGGTTGGTTGGTGAATTGTTTTGGTCGTGGTATATGTTTTCGCAATCGTGACACATGAAATACTGGATGTATTTTCATATGTGACGGAAGTTCCAACTTGTATGACACTTCACCAACACGCTTCAAAACCAAAAATGGACCAATGAACCTAGGGTTTAACTTTGGTGTTCCTACAAGAGACAAATTTGTTGTAGATAACCAAACATGATCTCCAACCTCAAAATTCACTTCTCTACGATGAGCATCGGCATACTGCTTTTGCCGATTTTGAGCTATCACCAGCTTCTCCTTGGCCTGATGTAGTCCTCGGTGAATATGCTCAACGAATTCGTTGACTGCTGCAACTTTGGTTGAAAACTCCTCTCCTTTGGGAAGTCTCATCAAACTTGAAGGAGTTATAGGATGAGCTCCATACATAAGAAAAAATGGAGACACTTTTGTGGATGCATTAACTGAATTGTTATATGCAAATTCCACAAGTGGCAAAAGTTTGTCCCACTCTTCTTGCTATTCTAATGTGAATGCTCGTGGCATATCCTCTATGGTTCTATTTGCCCTCTCAGTTTGTCCATCAGTTTGAGGGTGATAGGCCGTTGACATTGCTAGTTTTGTTTTGAAAAAACTAAACAAAGTTTTCCAAAATAAACTAGTGAAGTGAGTACCTCTATCCGTGATTAACACTTTGCTTAAGCCATGATTCACAAAAACTGCATCTAGATACAATTGAGCTAGTTGTGGAGATGTTACTGTTTTTGTGGTTGGCCTGATGTGAATCATCTTGCTCAATTTGTACACAAAAACCACCACTGAATCATGTCCTAACGAAGTCCTTGGTAACTCACATACAAGATCCATGGTGACATGTTCCCACCGCTGTTCGGGAATAGGAAGAGGCTGTAATAAACCCGCTGGTTTTTGATTACTTGCCTTGTTTTGTTGACAAGCAACACAACTTCGAACATAAGACTCCACATCCTCACGTATTTTGGGCCAATAGTACACTCGTTGTATACTCTCCACGGTTTTCTCCACTCCCACATGACCTGCAATGGCTGTATCATGACTTTCTGCCAAAATCATTGTGCGCAAATCGTGATCTTGTGGAATCCATATACGCTGATTGTAAAACGCCAAACCTCGAGATTTCTCTGCCTTTCCAGTTTGTAGTGCCCGAGTGATCTCTTCATACTCCTTTGTGGCTTGTGACATCTTGCTCCACCAATCTGCCTGAATTTTCACTTCTGCAACATGATTCTTACAAGGCATGCGTGTGAGAGCATCTGCAAGTTGCTTCTTTCCCTCCACGTACACAATCTTCATGTTGAAGCGTTGATGCCACTCTGCCCATCGAATTTGTCGTTTGGACAGATCCTTCTGAGTTTCCAAATAAACCAAGGGTTTATGATCAGTCTCCACCACAAACTCCTTATCACCCAAATAATGCTTCCAATGTTTGATTGCCAACACGATGGCTAACTCCTCCCGTTCTGTCGTGTGATAATTTTGTTCCGCCGCCACCAACTTTCGAGAATAGAAAGCAACTGGATGCCATCCATCCTCCCATTCTTGTTGAAGTATGCCACCTACTGTTGTACCTGATGCGTCAGTGGCCAACTTGATAGAACGGTTAGGATCATATCACTTGAGAATAGGTGCGTGTAACAAAGCATCTTTCAATGCTTGAAAAGCTAACTCTTGAGCTGTTCCCCATCTCCACTTTTGACCTTTCCCTAACATGGAAGTCAAGGCCTGAGCTAGTCGAGCAAAACCTTTCACAAATCTACGATAGAATCCAGTGAGCCCTAGAAAATTTTTCAATTGAGTTTGATCCTCAGGTGCTATCCATTTCTGAATGGCATCTATCTTCTCACTCATCACTTGGATTCCTGTAGCTGTAACTCTATGACCCAAGTAATCTACCTTTGACTTGCCAAATTCACATTTTGAAGCTTTGGCATACAATTGATTGTCTCTTAAAACTTGAAGTACCTCTCGTAAATGACTTCTATGATCACTCAAAGTTTTGCTATACACCAATATATCATCTAGAAAAACAATGACAGATTTATCTAGATAAGGGCGAAAGATATCGTTCATCAATCCCATGAATGTAGCTGGTGCATTAGTGAGACCAAAAGGCATCACTAGATACTCAAAGTGTCCATACCTAGTACGAAAAGCTATCTTGTGAACATCTTCATCTGCAATTCGAATTTGATTGTAGCCGCTTCTCAGATCTAGCTTGGTGAAGTACTTCGCTCCTTGAAGTTGATCAAACAAATCATCCATACGAGGTAATGGATATTTGTTTTTCACCGTTTGCTGATTCAACCCGCGATAATCGATACATAGTCTCATGGATCCATCCTTCTTCTTCACAAAGAGTACTGGAGCTCCATAAGGTGAAACACTTGGTTGAATGAATCCCTTGCTCAACATCTCCTCCACTTGAGCTTTGCATTCTTCCAATTCGTTTGGAGCCAAACGATATGGAGCTTTGCAAGTTGGTGTACTTCCAGGTATCACCTCAATCTTCTGATCTACTCGCCTCTTTGGTGATAATCCTGCAGGTAGATTATCTGGAAAAACATCTTTATACTCCATAAAAATGTCGTTCAGGGACTCCGGAATGTAAGGTTTGTCCGTGGACCCAATATCTCTTATAAGTCCAAGGAAACATACATCATCTCTAGAAATGGATGCTGTACCCATCACAAAGAGGGGTAAATTCCTATTCTGAGATCTAATTCTATCTCCATAGATCTTCCATCCACTACTTGTAATCACTTTTCTTCTCCAATCTACCTTCGGATTATATTGTTCCATCCATGGCATTCCAAGGATGACATCATATCGAGCTAAACGAATTACTCTCCACTCAATGCTCTCCTTGTATCTACCTATGGATAATTCTACACTCCGTGGTAGTGTTTCTATCACTTCAGTTTGCCCGTTTGGCAATTCAACTTCTTCACTCACGTATTTCATCAACATCAAACCTAACTTCATAGCAACACTCCTTGATAGAAAATTCTCAGTTGCTCCAGGATCAATTAAAACTCT